TATATATATATATATATATATATATATATATATATATATATGTCTATATACATATGAATTATACGTGAGTTTTATTTCTGTACAGTCACATATATAATCGTATATGTCCACACGGGAACAATAATATTGAATAAAACAGGAAGACATAGTTTCGCTCAATTAAACGTCGACATGATATGCTACCAAAAGTATAAGCATTTATTTCGATTGTATTTGTATAATATTATTTTTTGTTATAAAGACATATATAAATATACGCATAATTATACGTAGTGATAAAATAATAGAGATAAAATTTATATATGAACTTTTTTTCTCGGGCAATCATTATTCGATTGTTTCGCATTTTTTTAGATTTATATTGAAATTCAAGCTAAAGTGCCCATGTAAAGTTATCGTTTTGTATTCCTCATTTTAAACAGAGAATCTATTAAGTGTTGTTAAATGTTCGAGCGGGAAGGTACATTTCTCGAGTATATCACGGAGAAACTTGAGTGCCGAGTGCAAGCGCAAGTTCACCCTTGTCGTATGTGCGTGTATGTACGATCATTAGAGCGTGTACTCGACGAGCTCGAGTATCGTCCCGATCTCTCTCTCTCTTTCCCTCTCTCTTTCTCTCTTGCGACGAGTGCATGAAAAAGAGAAAGCAACTAGTACCGTACGTAGAAAAGCTATATGACTTTGCAAGTTGCAACATTGTTGCCCTGACGACGATAAGATGCGATGCCGCAACAGGTACATAGATTCAACGACGCGTTTCTACGAACACTTCGAATACCCGCGAAGTAGAACCGATACACCCGGTGAAAGTACACGAATCAGATCATCGACCACGTGGCGACATGTATGTGTCAGGGAGATAAAAAAAAGGGGAAAGAAGAAAAAAAACGAAGTCAAGGCCTCGTCAAAAATATGACGGGACACGGTGATTATTAATGTCGTTTTTACCAGCAATTGGTGAAAGTCCGGATTGCGTTTCGTACCACGTTATGTCATGTCTTACGGATCCTAACGTAACACCGTAAATATGCTACGTCACGCACGACACGGCGTATGTACCTATGCATGCACGCATATATGTGTGTGCGTGCGTGCGGTGTGTGGCTGTGCATGTATATGTGTGTGTGTGTGTGTTTCAGAAACATGCGTAAATTAGGCATCACCGCACGTATATATGGAATTTCCTCGTTTCTAATGCCCGTTCGAAAAGAATTCATGCTGTTGCGAAAAAGATTTTACTTGATGTAATTCCATGGCCCATATTTAATAATTCTTACTTGAAACTCCTTTCAAGCAAAATACTCAAATCTGAGCTTGGAGCTAGATGAGAGTTTTTCAGTTGAATTACAGTTGATTACAGAGATATTTTGTCACATATATCGTATAATGCAACCGAAAAAACTTGAATCTAATTCTGAAGAAAAATCTCAGTATCTCACGTGAGACAAACTTTAGATAAAGATTATTAATATAGATCTATGTCTCTGTGCGCGAATCTTTATCTCCGATTCAAACTGTCATTGATATGATTCAATTGTTTGAAATACTGTAGCTAAAAAACGGTTATTATCTAAAAAAGGAAAATAGAAAAGAAAGTTTTTTGCACAAGATCAAGGTTAGTATAGTCGATAACGAACTAATGTCTTTTTTCTTAGTAATGACGTTTATTTGTATTTATGTTTTTCTGCATTACGTTTAATTTAAACTTTGCTCGAAATAATTGTTTTTACGTAATGACGTGTAATAAGAGCATAAAAAGAATATATAGAATATATAGTAATATAATGATTCCATGAATTGTTTAGTTTTTTACAAACACGATAAATCATCCCGTATTATCGAAACTTGATGAGTAACATAATTTCCTCGTAAAATTACGCGATAGTTTGGTAAGAAGTTACATTTGTCAATCGAGAAATCTGTTACAAAATTGTCGAATTACACTTACATAAAGTATATACATGGTATATACATATGTAACAGTCTGCGTTAAGTCCCGTAAACAGATCTTGAACAAAACATTTTGAAATATTAGTTTTACGCGTATCTTTTGAACATTTTCGTTTAATATTTTAAAAACATTTCAAAGATATTACCGGATACGATCCCTTTCACTATTGTAAAAATGTTTTAGAAATATTAAAATGTCGAAGTTATTCGTAATAACGTTGATACAACGTTAAAAACTACTATATTAGGAAACGTTACATGTTACCAAACATCGCTGCAGTAATGTTCTATTAATGATTTTTTGCTTATTAGAAAGTGCATTGATAGTTCTCTAGTAAGCAAGGAACACTAAATTAACGTTTAGAAACGTTGACTTCATGTGCATTGTATGAACATTTTTTAATAATATTGCATTTATATTTTTTACATGTTATTTTGTGATATGATTTTTCTGAATGTTGTTTAAACGTTTCAAAAACATTACAAAAAATATATTTTTCAAATGTTACTTTAACATTTATTTGAGATCAATGTAACATCTTAAAAATATTTCTGACGATTAAAACGTTATGGCAATCTTATTTCAACATTATTGAAACTTCCAAATCGCGGACAAAGTATGTTCATAATGATGTTTGAATATTAAACTCTACATATTTGCCAATATTACAGGTTCTTAAATATCATTGTAGTAACGTTGTATTAATGATTTCTTGCTTACTAGGTCTACTGCGAACGGTTATTATCTAAAAAAAAAGGAGAAAATATTGTGAATAAGATCAACAGTTATAGTCGATAACGAATTAATGTATCTTTTCTCTTAGCGATAACGTTGATTGTTCTTTGCATTTTCCTGCATTATGTTTTCTCTATTTCACGTCTAATTTTAACTTTGCTCAAATATGATTACGTTTTTATTACGCATTTTTATTACGTTCATTTTATTACGCGTAATATAACGATTTCACGAATTGTTTAGCTTTTCGAAAAAGTCAAGGCTCAAAGAGGATTAGCGGCGCTTCGGAAGGCGGTAACGGTCATTAATGGAGACATATTAATGCCAGATCTCGGGATCTCTCCGGAGGATAGGAAGATGCTCTGCGAAAATGTCAATATAGTATATCACGCAGCAGCTACGGTCAGGTAAGCTGCAACGAGACAATTCCTCGATAGAGAGTGAAAAAGATTGTTCGGTTATGTCGCGTGATCAGATTAAGTGATAATGATAGATTGTCCTATAGATTTGACGAGATGTTGAAGAAAGCCGTGCTTATGAATACACGCGCCACAAAATTAATGATAGAGCTGGCCAAAGAGATGAAGAATTTAGTTCTGTTTGCTTACATCAGCACGGCCTATTGTCATCTGGAAGAAAAGGTAAGTACAATCTTAGTATATCCATCGTGTGACATCTGTATAAAAAAATTCGCTTTTTCTCATAAAAAAAAACATTAATCTTTCCGGTTCGTATAAAAATTCGGTTTTTCTTACAACACGCAAAAAAAGAGTAAGCATATTCTTTATGTATCTATCGTGTTACATTTGTATAAAAATTTACATTTTTTTATATAACATTGACCTCTACACTAGAGACTACCCAGATAACGCAGAGAATTCAAAAAGAATTCGAAAAGAATTCAGTCGTATGCCACCAATTCTGAAATATAATCTGAAATTCTGAGATCATTTTCAGATACAAAAAGAATTTTTTAGAATTCAGTTCAGTGAAAAGAATTCTTTTTGCATCTAAAAATGAACTCAGAATTGGTGACATACGATTGAATTCTTTTTTAATTCCCTGGTAAAAAAAAGTTTATAGAGAACGATAGAATTTTATTCTATCGTTCTTTATAAACTTTTATAGAATTCAAATTGATAGCGCTATCAATTTGAATCGTTTTCTTTAAGCTGTATTGTTCTCGCTCGCAAGTTCAAATATAAATCCTATTGTGTTTTATCGTATTTTATCTGGTTATACACGATTTTGTATTCTATAGGAAACTAACGATAGAAATTCTATCACTATCTACCCAGTAAGCAAGGAACATTAAATTAACGTTTAGAAATGTTGATTTTATGTGCATTGTTTGGACATTTTTTAATAATATTGCATTTATATTTTTCACATGTTATTTTGTGATATGATTTTTCTGAATGTTGTTTAAACGTTTTAAAAACATTGCAAAAAATAGATTTTTCAAATGTTACATTTATTTAAGATCGATGCAACATCTTAAAAATATTTCTGCCGATTAAAACGTTATAGCAATCCTATTTCAACATTATTGAAACTTCCAAATCGCAGTCAAAGTATGTTCATAATGATGTTTGATACAATATTAAACATTACATATTTGACAATATTACAGATATTCTTGATATTCTTCAATATCATTGTAGCAACGTTGTATTAATGATTTCTTTCTTATTAGGTATTGTATTCTATTCTATACGATAGAATACTATTCACATTTTGTAAATTCACGAACCAAAATCCATATTCAAAACGATAGAAAATTATTATTTTATTCTATCGTTCTCTATGAATCTTTTTAGGATTTTCTATGCTATCTGGGTATTGATAACCTGAGAAAAAGATATGATTTTTGTCTATATATGATTATATATAATTATGAATAATTATAAAGAATGTCCCGTCATTACCGCATTATCTCTTAAGGACGAATTCCTAAAGTAATTTAATAAGAAAATCCTAATACAAAAATGACGAGGCTATAATACTTTTCAAATTATAAATTATAATTTATAAACTTTAATAATCAAATTATTAAAGTTGACCAATTATATTAGCTGAAGTATGCGCGCTCAGGTACGGTACAACACACACAGTGATACAGGTGTATGCACATGTCGTCCCTTTTCCAAATATTGATAGGGAAGTTCTATACATACAACAATATATATAATAATAATCTATCTTTTCTATCATTTAAATAAACATCGCAAATAATAACAATCTCGTCAAAATGTTATGAATAAAATATCACACAATACATTTATGAGAATCAGTAAGCTGTCACACATTTGACGTTTCTTTCAGGGATTTACAACTAATTTCATATCTTATGCAAATTCTCATTTATGTGCATGCACCTGTACTGTATTTATGTGCATGCACCTGTATTGTGTACCATACCTGAACGCGCGTACTTGGCTTTAGCCAATATAATTGGTCAACTTTAATCGCTTATAATTTGAAAAGTATTATAGCCTCGACATTTTTGCATTAGGATTTTTTTCTTCAAATTACCTCAGGAATCCGTCCGTAAGAGATAATGCGATAGTGGCGGGACATCCTGTATATATTCATAACGAGAAAATTGTTTTTATACAAATACGAGCGAATTAAATGCTTATGCTTTTAGTGGCATATGACGTCGACATTTAATCGAATGTAATTATTTCTTCTCTTGTTTATTTAACATAATCTTTTTCTATGTGAACAAAATTCACATATAATTTATATATAATCATATATATCAATTTCATGTAATTGTATGTATAATTATTTTTTCCCAAGAAGGAGCCTCGGAGATTTTTTGCGAAACGGCGGAGTTATTGTATTATACCTCGTAGCGTATTTACATAAAAATACTCGAAAAAAACAATAAATTAATGACTAATCTTGAGCAGGTTTTGCGTCAGAAAACGTATCCTCCACCCGCCGATCCTCACCAAGTGATCAAATGCGTGGAATGGATGAACGATGAAGTGGTCGAGGCCATGACGGACAAGATTCTGGGGACGTATCCCAACACTTATGCTTTCACGAAAGCCTTGGCGGAGGGTCTCGTTGAAGAATCGCTACCGCATATTCCGTCGATAATTCTAAGGTACTAAGATCTCAGATAGCACAGAGAATTCGAAAAGAATTCAGTCGTATGTCACCAATTCTGAGTTCATTTTTAGATACAAAAAGAATTCTTTTAACTGAACTGAACTCTGAAGAATTCTTTTTGCATCTGAAAATGAACTCAGAATACATACGACTGAATTCTTTTTGAATTTTTTTTTAGTTGTCTGCGCTATCTGAGATGCCTTTTTGAGATCGAATTTTCTAGGCAACACAAGAATAATCTAATTATGACTTTAGAATAAATCAGGAAATTTAGAACAAGCTTCCTGGTCGAGTTGCTCCCGTTTTATTAACGGTACATTGTACCTGTGTTGAATAGGCCAAGCATAATTATTCCTGTGTGGAAGGAACCACTTCCCGGTTGGACGGACAATATCAACGGTCCTACTGGTCTGTTGATTGGCGCCGGGAAGGGAGTAATTAGGACGATGTATTGTGACCAAGAGACATACGCCGATTATTTGCCGGTCGATATCGCAATCAATGCCATTCTCGTCGCTTCGTGGAACTTCATTTATTTCAAGGATCGGGAGAAACGGGTCTTTAATCTCACGAGCAGTAGCGAATTTCAGGTACATCCGCAATGATCCCTCCGCATGTGTATGATCCTTCCGCGATATCATAAAGTGAGATCATTCATCCTTGTAGGTCTCCTGGGCGGAAATAATAGAACGAGGCCGAAAAATCACCCAGAAAGTACCTCTGAACGGAGTCGTGTGGTATCCAGGTGGTAGTATGAAGAAATCGCGACTCCTGCATAACATTTGTATTCTGCTGTTTCATATGATACCGGCCTATCTCATCGACGCTTTAATTTTTCTAGCTGGTCACAAACCCATGTGAGTTGTCTCACGTTATTTTAGTTAATTGACACGTTAACTGTCATAGTGGTCATCAGTGATTAACGCTACATAATGATGTCATATCTCATTAACTTGTGTAACGTAATCAACTACTTTTAACAAATTAAGGCTTCTGATCCCACTGCTGTGAAACCCTAGATTTATTGACTATCAAGAGAAAAGAATAGTTTTCAGAGCATTTCCCTTATAGAAATATCATACTAAGAATCATTGATAATTACTTATTATCCAGTATTTTTAATACTGAAAATAAGTAATTATCAATGATTCTTAGTATGATATTTCTATAAGGGTTTACAAGTCTGCTCAAGCGATCTGAAGTGTTCCTTCAAACAAATATCTTTTTATTTGAAAATAGCATGCATAAGAATTTTTGACATCATCAATACAGGATTCTGCAGCAGTGGCACCAAGAGCCTTAAATTTAATATGACCGATAGCCAACGAGCTATGCTAACGAATATATGCTTTACGAATTGCATTTGTTTACTGCATATTTAGGTCTGTATTAATAATTATTACTTGAAACTTGTCTCAAGTGAAATACTCAGACTTGAATTCAGAGATAGAATTTTTTCAGTTTAATTGCGCGCTTACAGAGAAAGAGAAGTACAAATGTTATATATATATATATATATATATATATATATATATATATATATATATATATTTATTTATTTATTACAATTCAATTTAAAATTGAGTTTAACTCTAAATAAAAATTTGAGTATCTTACATAAGGCCAGTTTTAAATAACAATTATCAATATGAGCCTTAATAATTCAAGCTTGAATAAAATATTGAAATAATCAATGGTAGTCTAACGCGCGGAGGACTTTGCTCATTTGTTAACTTATATTTACATGTGCAGCATGTGTCGTGTGCATCGTCGTATAAACAAAGGATTCGAAGTATTCGAATATTATGCGAATAATCAGTGGGACTTCGATAATTCCTACGTGATCGAAATGAGATATAAGTTAAACAATCTGGAATTTGATAAGTATCAATTGCACGGCGATGACATGGACTTAGACGCCTATTTCGAAACTTGCATTCGAGCTGCCAGAGTTTACATTTTAAACGAGCTTCCAGAAACTCTACCGGCTGCTCGTAGACATCTGAGAATGTAAGTTTGAGAGTCCATCTCGTATGAACAGCAACTGACTAATTCTTTCTTTTTCCTTCGCAGCATGTACTGGGTGGACGTTATCGTGAAAACTCTATTTTTCCTGTTTCTTTTTTACACCCTGATAAATTCTAATGACTTCACTAAAACGATGGTTGCTGACAGTGCGACATACATTGTAAAGCAATTAATATAATTTCTTTAATCTTAATCTTAATCACGTTGCAATTTCTAACACAGCTTGAAAATTATCTTTTTTATATTGATCGCAAGGATCGTTTAGATAAATTATCAGTGATTTTTTCACTTAATCTCCAAAAGATATAACAGTGTTTCTCCTTGTATACGCTGTATAACTCTGTATAATAAAAACATTGAAACACATGTAAGTGAAGACATTATTTACATCATAAAAGATCAATTTTATTTTATGGTGAAAGATCATCGAATTCTTGTACATTCTTAAACCGACCAATGTGAACCTGGCACTTGACTTTAACAAGAAAAAATTAACGATTATAGTTTGTTTATACTTTGATCGTTTTCCCATACTTCTATAAGGAACAAAAGTATGTATTAACCCAAGAGTTAACTAACATGGTATTAAATCTTTAACATATTTTAGAAATGCTGTACTTTCGAATTCTCCGAGATACAAACGATTTAAAAAGCGGTACAAACGTGTGCTAACAAAGCTCTTTCGAATGACGTTTTCCGATACTTTTATAAACAACAAAAGCATGTATCAACAATTTGATGTACTTTGAAGATGCTGTACTTCTGAAGATATGAACGAGATACGAACGAGATACGAACGATTTAAAAAACAGTACGCGTGCTAATGGAGCTTCTTCGAATGGCGTTGAACGTTTTCAGATATCTCAAGAAATGGCATAGTTGCGTCTTACAAGTAACACTACCCAAGTGATACTCGCCGATTCGGATCAAACTTTGCACATCGATAGAACACTAAAAAATATTGAACCCGTGTTTTTTTATATCGGCAGAATACCGTTTTAAGGGGTAGAAACCACCCCTATCACTCACTCTAATCCAGCACCCCAAACAGTGAGAGGCAAGGGGACTCACTCTAATCCAGCACTCCAAACAGTGAGAGGCAAGGGGACTCACTCTAATCCAGCACCCCAAACAGTGAGAGACAAGGGGACTCACTCTAATCCAGCACCCCAAAGGGGACAAAACCCTATTACGTCCACGTCGTTGTCCCTGGATGAAACTAAATATAGGGTAACCGTGCTCAAAGGCAAACATAATTTATTCCAGGAAAAACAAGTACTTGAAATCGCTGTTCCCAGGCTAAAATAATTAATCGGTAAAATAAGGATCGGTAGGGGTGCTTTTTAAGGGTTGTAAAGGTGTGTGGGGATAAAGTAGATCAGGGTCAAGGTGAATTAGCCTATTTGGGGTGGGAAACTTATTTTCTTAAAGATAAGCAGACGATTAAACTCGCTCTACCCAGGCTTAGGTAGGTTAGCCTGCTTGGGGGTTGATAGGGGTAGTTTCTAACCCTTAAAACGGTATTCTGCCGATATAAAAAAACACGGGTTCAATATTTTTTAGTGTTCTATCGATGTGCAAAGTTTGGTCCGAATCGGCGAGTATCACTTGGGTAGTGTTACTTGTTAGACATCTTTTTAAAATTTTGTACTCCCGGTATCCTTGAGATACAAACGATTTTAAAAGTAATACAAACAGATACAAACGATAATCTTTCGAGTGACATTAGTCATTTGCTAATTTAGAATATTATAATTACTAATTTAGAATATTTTTTAGTCGGCTATTGCTGGTTATTTTCTTTTTTTAACTTCTATATTTTATTAAATACTGGTTATTTTCTTTTCTTAACTTCTATATTTTATTAAATACTGAAATACAAACGAAACGAAGAATAATACAAAAAGTTACAAACAAAGTACAAACGAATTATGATCGTTAATACTTTTTATTAAAGTCAGATTCAAACGGACTCCTGTACCGGTGGCTCGTAGCCCTCTGGCCTATCGATTTTGGATCCGCTTTCGCCGACCTCTTCGGTTTTACTGCTCGCTCCATCTCCATGCAGCTCCAACAACTTGCTGAGCTCGAAGCGAGGTTTTTTTAATACTTTTACCTGATAAAATTACAATAAAGATAATTAAAATAAAGATAATGACAGAAATCACGGTTCATTATCTTTGTGAAGAAGTGCTTGATTGCACAATTATATACACAGTTCAAAGAGGAAAAATACTCACCTTACGAATATAAACGTCGTGCAAGGGATAAATTCCTTGTGATGCTTTTTCAATGTCTTTAGCGGTGGCATCAGGAAGCAATTTGCTAACAACGCCCTTCAAGTCGGTCTTAGTTACATCTTCTGTGATAGTTTCGACCATCTTTTGTCGAATTTTCTTCACCTAAATTCAATTACGAGTTATATAACATGACACAACTAAAAACGTAAATAAATGATCGGTAAATAGCATCTACAAAACGCCGAGTTGAACAAAGGAATAATAATATCAAACGAGTAAAAATCGTATTATTTAGCTAATAATTTTAATATTCCCACGGATATGAATGAACGTTGAATAAAATTTTACGTTTTAACTTGCGTTGTGAAACTTGAAATATCTCAAAGCACATAGAATCTGCTGGACTAAAAATATTTATAAACGTTATGACGTGTAGCAAGTTCTTTTATCACTGCTTATTTGTACACAAGCAGTGTGGTAAGGGACTGCACATTGATATTCGCAACATCTTTTGCCATTGCAGTACAGACTGTAACGAACATGGAGCTGCGTGTGATACAAGCAACACAAAACTGAGCTGGATACAAACCTGTGCATGTTGGGCATAGCACGTCTTCCTCGTGCTGAGTTGATCCTTATTAGTGAAACCAATACAAAAAACTCTCAGTAGATAACCATCCGTAGTTTTTACATCTACACTGGCTTCAATTAAAGTCTGCCATTTTTTAACCATAGAACGGAGCTTATCTGTAGTCAAGTCCATTCCATGGAAGTTAGTTAGAACATTACGTCCTTGCACGTCCTCAGCGATTAATCTAAATTTCCGGAAAGATCTTTCTGCATCTTGATCGCTTTGAAGATCTGCCAAGGATACTTCAAACACTCTGAACTTCAGACCTTCTGATGCAATTTCTGTCAAAATAAAATTGATATTTACATCGTATACATCACTGAACAAAGTGAGGAAAGGCTATCAGAAATACAAGATCAAAGATACATAAAAAAAGGAAAAATTATTTGAGATTACAGTAAAAAAAGATTTTTATTAGCTATATGAAAGTTTCAAGGAAGAAGTTCTTACTAGTGCCCTGCGTCCTGTTAACCAACGTTTTGCCCACCTGACGGTTGGCAAACATTGATGGTGCCTTCACATCGTACCAGTCTTTGCGAGTGAAAGGATCAATGCTGAAACAATACAGTATTACATGAGATGAAACATGAAGTATATTAACAAAATAAATTGACGAATTGATGAATTAAGGAAAGATCAAATATATCAATAATGTAATAATCGTTGAGGTTAAATCTTATGGATTTATGATGTATATTTTTTATTTCACAAATTTTAAAGTTATAATACTTTGCCACGTATGCCATCTAACCCAAGAATGATCCTGTTTCTCTCATTTAGGGAGTATTAAATTATGTTAAAAGAAAATGTTCAAAATGCGATGCTTCTGTAGCTTTGTTGATCTCGAGAATAATATTTTAAAACATATAAAATCAAAGACATTACGCGGAACAAAACAAAGTAACTCGAAGACGAGTTTTTTCGCAAATTTAAAATACCTAGTTGCACTTAAAGATACTTACATCTTCTTTTTCACTCCCTTCTTGCCTCCTTTCGAAAGACCTTTATTCTTGCCTACTGCCATGATTCGGAAAGTCGTGAGTTAAAATAAAATTCTCAAATAATTAAACCCATATACAAAAAAAGCTGTCGTAGATGATCGCAGACTGTAACTACATTTGCTTTGAACTCACGTGCTGTAAGGCTACGTTCGGAAACGTCACTCGAGTACTCTCTCTCTCTCTATCTATTTATCTATCTCATTCACTCCAACGCAACGGGTACATTTGACCAATCCCAATCGAGTATTCGGCTCTTCGTAATAATGGAGGGGTTACGAAGAGCCGAGTGATCGATTGGGATTGGTCGATTTCTTTACACTTACGTTTTAAGTCTTACGGAATTTTGTGTGTGATGGCCTTAAGCAGTACTGCGAATTCGGGAGATTTCTTCGCGTACGCGCATTGAGCAAATGTTGTGGTATTCTCAGGGCTGCGTTCCAAAATCCTACACGGCAAGTAGAGCAACATTCAATTAACCAATCATGATAAAGAAATCTTAGTTCTCTTGGTCTGATTAGTCAATTAGATGCTACTCTATCCGTTGAATTCGGCATTAGAATATATCTTATTCCTTATTTTAGTGTTTCGAATATTACTTGTCCAAAGATTGACCTACAATGTGCTGTGCTCTTTCTGTTTCTTATTCTCTATACTTTTCTGACTAAAGGTTTGAGTGATAAAAAAAAGAAAGAATGCAAAATTCACACTGCAGGTTAAGCTTAAGTCTTCCTGCACAGATCAATTTGACCTTCTCATTGTATTGTTGAATTCGTGTTGTTTTATAGGTACTGTTAGTAAATAAATTGGATGAACATATTTCGTTGAATCATAGAATAGCGATGTCATAAAAGATCGTTTTTATTTTTTTCTATTCTTAAACAGAATCCTGTACCGGTGGCTCGTAACCCTCCGGTCTATCAATTTTGGATCCACTCTCGCCAACCTCTTCGGTCTTGTTACTACCTCCGTCTCCGTGCAACTCCAACAATTTACTCAGCTCGAAGCGAGGTTTTTTCAACACTTTCACCTGATAAAATTACAATTTACTACAGTTTATTAACGTTCGTGAGACAAAGATAGAAATTAGGGTTAGTTATCTTTGTAAAAAAGTACAATTGCATACAAAGTCATCCAGAGAGGAATGTAAAATACTCACTTTGCGAATATAAACGTCGTGTAAGGGATAAATTCCTTGCGACGCTTTTTCGATGTCCTTTGCGGTGGCATCAGGAAGCAATTTGCTAACGACGCCCTTCAAGTCGGTTTTCGTCACATCTTCTGTGATAGTTTCGACCATCTTTTGTCGAATTTTCTTCACCTAAATTCAATTACGAGTTATACAACATGATACAACTAAAAACGTACGTAAAATAAATGATCCGCAAATAATATCTACAAAATGCCGAGTTGAACAAAGGAATAATATCAAACGAGTAAAAATCGTATTATTTAGCTAATGATTTTAATATTCCCACGGATATGAATGAACGTTGAATAAAATTTTACGTTTAATTTTACGTTGTACACGGAAATTTGAAATATCTCAAAGCACACAGAATCTGCTGGACTAAAAATATTTATAAATGTTATGACGTGTAGCAAGTTCTTTTATCACTGCTTATTTGTACACAAGCAGTGTGGTAAGGGACTGCACATTGATATTCGCAACATCTTTTGCCATTGCAGTACAGACTGTAACGAACATGGAGCTGCGTGTGATATATGCAATGCAAAATTGAGTTGGACACAAACCTGTGCGTGTTGGGCATAGCACGTCTTCCTCGTGCTGAGTTGATCCTTGTTAGTGAACCCAATGCAGAAAACTCTCAGTAAGTAACCGTCTGTAGTTTTGACATCTACATTGGCTTCAATTAGCGTCTGCCACTTTTTAACCATGGAACGGAGCTTGTCTGTAGTCAAGTCCATTCCATGGAAGTTGGTTAGAACATTACGTCCTTGCACGTCTTCAGCGATTAATCTAAATTTCCGGAAAGATCTTTCCGCATCTTGATCGCTTTGAAGATCAGCCAAGGATACTTCAAATACTCTGAACTTCAGACCTTCTGATGCAATTTCTGTAAAAATAAAATTGATATTTACATTGTATACATTGCTGAACAAAGTGAGGGAAGACTATCAGAAACACAAGATACATAATAAAGGAAAAACCTACTATCTGAGGTAGTAAAAAAAGAATGCGTTTTACTAATTATATGAAAGTTTCAAATTCTTACTGGTGCCCTGAGTCCTATTGACCAATGTTTTGCCCACCTGACGGTTGGCAAACATCGAGGGTGCCTTCACATCGTACCAGTCTTTGCGAGTGAAAGGATCAACACTAAAACAATATAGTATTATATGAGATGAAATACATTAATATGAAATACATTAATAAATTGACGAATTGATGAATTAAGGAAAAATCAAATATATGAATAATGTAATAATCGTTGAGATCAAATCTCGTGGATTTATAATGTAAATTTTTTATTTCACGATTTCCGAGTTACCATGCTTTGCCATGTGTGCCATCTTAACCAAAAGCAATTATTTTACACTCATTTAGGGAGTATTAAATTATGCCAAAAGAAAATATTCACAAAGTGTGATCAATCATTTTGTCGTTCCCAAGGATAAGATTTCAAGATATAAAATGTAAAATTTATCAAATGGTATACACGAGTCAACTTAGGAGCATCCAACATAACCAAAGGCATCATGCAAAACGGTAACTCGAAGAAGAGTTTTTTCGTAAATTTAAAATATCTTGATACATTTAAAGACAATATATTTCACTTACATCTTCTTTTTCACGCCCTTCTTGCCTCCTTTCGAAAGGCCCTTATTCTTACCTACCGCCATGACTCGGAGTTGTGAGCTGAAAGATCCTCAAATACTTAAACCCGTGTGTAGACAGATGTTGCCACTCTTGCAGATGATCGCAGATTGTGGCTTCCACTTAAGGCTAATGGAGGATTTACACTGCGTCCGACATCCGATGTAGAATACGATATCCAATAGTAGAGCTTCTTTGCTAGGTTTCTAATTAGTGACATTTTGTCCCTAAACAATCAATTCTTCTATTGGGCCTTCTACAATGGGTGCTTTCCATTGAATAACATAAGTTGACATAAAGGCCATTACACACAAAATTCCGTAAGAACTTAAAACGTAAGCGTAGAGAAATCGACCAATCCCAATCGAACCCTCGGCCCTTCATTATTACGAAGAGCCGAATACTCGATTGGGATTGGTCGATTTCCTTACGCTTACGATTTAAGTTCGTACGGAATTTTGTGTGTGATAGCCTTAAGCATCATTCTGTCTTTATTCCATATTCAATGAGTAACAAAGATAGGATGATGCTTGTGTCGACTTGTGTTATTGAATGGAAATCATCCAATAAAGGCTGCGTTCCGAAATTCACTGCCAATGCTGAAATTCTATATACGTCAAATGAACTATAGATTTTCAGTATTGGCAGTGAATTTCGGAACGCAGCCAAAGACAGGGGCACACGGTGCTTGTTTCGTGCTAGATGAAAATACTCTGTTTTGATTGGTGCATTTCCATTCATCTTCAGAAATGCACCAATCAGTACAGAGTATTTCTATTCAGCAAGCAATCATTACGAAAACTAGCACCGTGCCGTTGGCTTAATATTCTTAACATTTACTCTGACAACATATTTCGTTCATTGTACTATTAATTAAATCTTATCGCATTGCGTAATTCGATTATATGGATATATATGTAATTCGTTATGTACATTGCTGCAATTTCGAACAAATTTTGCAGTTTTCAACAATCACGAGTCTTTCCATATTCAGCGCATTATTTTTTCAATCGTGACTTTACCATAATCTAATCAATCTTCATCATATTCACGTCTGATTAATCGACTAATTTAACTACCAAATGAACAAAAGTTGCGAATACATAGCGAGCTATGAAAGGAAAAAAGATAGAAAGCACGAGAAAGAGTGGGAAGGATAGTTGGGTGGTGGGGAGAACCAGTGAGAACAGATGACTATTCGCTGATTTCAGTATGCTCGGAAATTTTGGTTTTGTAATGTGTTCTCGTTTATTTTTTTTCCGAACACAAATGCACGAGCCACTGCTTGCGCTCTTCCATAATAGTTCCGTGGGGTAAATGAAATCGCGCGCTCGCTGTAGCATGTATCTCCACTCGACTGCTCACCGAAAGGTTCTCTTCCATTAATTGGCCTACGTAACTATACTGATAATTATGAATTTACAAACGCTTTTCCAAGACTTCAATCCAAGGTAACCTCACATTTTCTGGATACAACAATACGCTCGGTCATCTCAATACGCTCATGATTGTTATTCTATAATAGTATGTTGTTCGTAATCCAAATACAAATATGGACATTGCGTTTATTTGAATTGCAGCAAATTTTTGGTACATTCATGCTTAATGATATTTACATCTCTATTCGCACTTCGATTGGACGGTTTCATAGAATGGAGTTATTGGTCGATATTCAGCCCGATATGGTTCTGGAAAGGTATGGTTATTTTGGGTGCTATAGTAGGAAGTTATGTCTGGTGGAGACATCCACACGCAAGATTGGAGGGAGATGCCTATGTGCATTATAAGGCAATGCTGATTACCTTGGCATTACACTTAATTCTACTGATGTTCGAGCTATTAGTATGTGACAAGTTAGAGTCTGAAAGACACTTGTGGATACTTGTATTCATACCTTTGATATTTATCTCGATAGTGTCAATTGCTGTAAGTAATTATTCCTCTTCATGACCCTTAATAATCTCTTATGATGTGTTAATTTAAATAAGTAACTGTGAAGGCCAATTTCCCAATTATAGTTTAAGCTTAGATCTTTAAGTTTCAAGCTCTGTTCTGACAATGTATTTGAAATGTTTGAATAGAGTTCAAATTTGAAGGTCTAAACTTAAACTGCTATTGAAAAATCAGCCCTTAATAATTTTTGATAATTTTTCTAACTAGTTCTAATGATTGCATCAACAAGTATTTTTATATTCTGACAATTTCTCTTTGTGATTTAGGTGTGCATCTGGGCTGTCAAGCACGATCGGTCATTTGAACTCGAACTGTTCTGTGCGGTGAATGTATTGCAGTTCATTTTCCTGGCTTTGAGATTAGATGGTTTTATAACATGGAGCTGGGAAGTTGTATTTGTGCCATTATGGGCACTTCTTTGTTTATCCTTGGTGGCTGTTTTATATGCAATAGTATTTGCTGCTGTTTTACTAAGAACGCCGCAAATCAACGCCCGGCAGAGGCGGACCTCGTTGAATTCAGCATTAGCATATACGTTTCTTGTTGTCCCTATTTTAGTGTTCCAGGTATTACCACCATTTTCTTGTCTAAAGTCTGACCTATAATGTACTCTGCTTTCTGTTTCTTGTTCTCTATATTCTGGCTAGAGACTTGAATCAGAAAGAGATAAAAAAAGAAACAGTATGCAAAGACCACATTGTGGGTTAGGTTTAAATCTTCCTGAATAGATCAGTCTAACTTTCTTATTATATTGTTGATTACTCAGTAATTTGTGTTCTGTTTCATAGGTACTGCTAGCAAATAAATTGGATGGAGATATTTCATTGAATTATACAACAGTAGCGATGCCACTGCTTGTGTCACATATGACCCTTATTTTTATGTCTTTTGGTGCAAAGGGTGGCAATAGATGTAAGGAATGATCTTGTAGATTATGTATCCTTTTTGTTCGAAACTTCTTTTTTCAAATGTCTTTATTATAAATTGTAATTAGCATGCATGAAAACAATGAAATTTTTATGTAGGGTGGTTTGGTATCAGAAAGGATTTCTGTCACTTTCTGTTGGGTTTGTGCCCGTTACTTCAAGAATATGGTAATATCTCGTATCAGCCGAGGGACGAACGAGATCAACCGCCATCCGAGCCAATGATTTCGGAAAAGGGTGAAAAGCTCATTAAGAAAATCGACCTAATGAAACCTGTTGTGCCTATAATCTCTATAGACATGCCTGACTGATTGGCTCGAAGCAGGTATATGTCTCGAAAATTCTCTTTTTTAATGGAAAGTTCATTAAATGTTATGTCTAATGTCTTGCAGGGTTTGTTCGGATATTTTACAAATGTTATCTTCAACACAACTGGCTTATACAAAGCCGGATATCTTATATAAAATAAGCAGGTAGCCATCTAAATGTTAAGCACATTAATTAGTTAGATATTTAATTCGTTATAACGAAGAAAAATACTTCTTTCGATATAATACACACACTTAGCGAATTGCTTGTATACTAGGTACTTTGTGTGCTTTATCTTAGGCCTTATTAAGCAAAGAGACGGAATTTTACGGAATGCGTATGTCAACTGGGATACAAGACTGAGCACCTCGCATCTCTAAGACTAATATTGTTGGAACTTCGGGAAAATGTCGGGAGGAAAAGGGAGCGCGGGATAAAAGTGGATATATCTAGACGAGCGATGTTGCTGTTAAAACGTTGCTGGACATCAATATTTAATGCCCAATCATTTATTATTATGTTATAATGTAGAAATATAATGTACAGACTGTTATATCACAATAACATTACGTATATATATACACATATATATATATATATATATATATATATATATATATATATATATATATATATATATATATATATATATATATGATACCATGGATATTGAATATTATATGCGTTTACCGTACATTATGACGGCAAACAAATGCTAGTAACATTGTTATTTTATATACATACATGCATATACATACATATACACGGCGTATGTATGTATATATAACACTTCAAAAAAGTACTATTATAATCTAATAAAGTTTCTATTTTTTGGTATCAACAGCAACAATCAATTAATTTCTATGATACTGTTATTCGACATCTGTAGCAATATCGCAATACACATGGTATATATTGAGATGTATATAGTATAGTATATTTGTACATATATATATCTCGATATTGTCTCTCTGAGACTCTGTTATAACGATCCAAGTGTTTCTATGTTTAACAGCTTTACTACGAATTATCGACTGTGAATGTTACAAACATTACAGACATGTGAACAATTACATACATACATACATTGGAGCTATTACTTTCGATGTTCCGAGATCTTGTAATTTTTGTAACTTGTAAAGAGTATTCTGTGAGAAATAGAATAGTACGTCGTGAACACACTATCTTCTCGATATATATATCTCATTTGCGATTGAAATCTCTTCGCTGATACTTCTTTAGGAGAGATCACCATAACGGCACGTACTCCGGCACCCACGTCCGACCGAGGAGCGACGACACATTCGCTGACACTTTGGTGATGTCGAATTCAGCGTCTTCTATTAGCGACGTTTCCGCAACGTGCAGCGCTTGAAGACGACGCGCGCAGAGTGCGACGAATCTCGCCAGTCCGGAACAACTGTTCAACGAGATGAAGAGAGGTGTTGTCATCGTTCCTTATTAATGTTTCCTTAATGTAAAAAGAATAAGGATTTCAAGTCGGTATCGGCACACGTGTGAGTACGTACGTAATTTCGCAGTCGCCTAAACCGACGGCGCTGAGCTGCGCGCAACTTTTAGCCATCGAAATCAAGAAGCGATCGATCGGACCGGACCCATACGCGGCGATCACCAGCTCTATCAGTCGCGGACACTGCTCGCTAATCCTCGATATCGTCGCTTGCGACGGCGTATCGCCGAGATAGAGATGCGTTACGGGAACGTGCGTCGTGAATAACAATTTTTGATCGTCGTCGTCAGTCATGTAAGACAATCTGGCAGAATGAGAAAGGCAAAGTGCAACTTTCTGGTCTCTGGTTATTGCATTTTGCAATTATTATTTCTATATTATTTCTGTCAACTTCTATGCAACTTCTTCTGAGTCAACGATCTTCATTGCTATCTCCACTTTTACTTACAGTACGAGATTTATATTGGGCAGATGATTCGAGAATGCAGACCATGCCTTCTCGCTGATGCGTGGAAGAGGCCTCACTTCCGGGTATGCCTCTACTTGTAAGGTCTCCAAATGAATTTGTTTCATCGAGCATAACGCTAAAAGTAACTCGTCGCTCAATAAGGAGTATGACAGAGATAATTCGCGGAGCCAACGACAGTGGTCGGCCAGAACGAAGATGCCTAAAATAGGGTGAATAATCCTTATGGTACTTTAAATTTGATTAAATTTGATTACTTCATTATTCAAAATTTATTTTTGTTAAATGTATTTAACTATCCTTATTGTATTTTGTGATGAGACACGAGCCGATAGTTCGGTTTACCTTCGGGCGACAGCCGCAGAGATCCTTTGATTCGTAGAAGATGCAACGTCTTGGAGCTCCTCTCGTCGTCACTGTCGCGACGTTGCTCCATTCTTCTCGCCTTGGAGACCGTCACTGCGGATTTAAATCGCTCACCATCGATCTCGTCAAGCTCTGGTGCGTTCATCACTGCGAATATATTTGGGGTGATTCTCGAATGCCACTATTCTTACAGACTATTTTAACAACAGGTTCGATTTCGCGCAGGAGTCGCAAGGCACTGTATCTCAACGTGTGAGACTTCGCGCACTACCGTGAGAATATTCGTGAGACGATGATTTTGAGAAGCTGGTAGTATCATATCCTTTCGCTCTGTCGTAGACCATAGTCTTCCGCAAAACGATCGGTCGGTCACCGGTGGCGGTGGTGCTAAAAAGCGAAAGGAACTCGCGGAAGTGGGGACTAGGGCAGACACGCGAGGATACGTGTATTAAGTAAAAGTAAAAGAGAAGAGGGTCAAGGACTTCGAGATCTCCTATCGAGTTTGAGGCTCTCTGGAGCCTCGTGCACTTGTGCACAGCATGCTGTTCACGTGTGTGCCGCATACCATGAAGAAGCAACATTACGAAGAAACTCCTCCAGCAGGGGAAAGCTACAGTCTCTCTCCTTGAGGAATATATCCATATTGTTGGCCACAAGGAGAGCTTGCTTTTAAATTTAAATCTAAGTCTGTTATATATTAAAGAAATAGAGATTGTACAATGAAGATACGAAAAACTTATATAATAAGCTTCTAGGAATATCTTCGTTCTTAAAAATTTCCATTAATTAATTATAAATCATTTATAATCTCCATTTTTTAAATATGTATTTAAGAAAGGATACGCATCTGCGAGCGGTATAAAAATAGATTGTATTTATAGAATGTTCTTTAAGACGACTTTTGGAAATAAGCTTTGACGTTCGCATATTCCTTCATTCTTAGAAATTTCTAGTGCCAACTACGCATTTGCAAGATCTTTTATGTGAAAAAAGTATCGTGATCTCTCACTTGCAAAGAAGTATAATTGTACTACAGCGTGTTCTTTAAGAAAGTGAAAAGAGACTTTCGCTTTTCTCTTTTTTTCTTTTCTTTTTAAACCTGCAACGAAACTACAAAGTTTCTTAGGCTGCAGTATCTTTTCTTCAGATCAAATAACATCGTAATCATTTACCGACTATTTACTTGCTTATTTATTCACAACTCGTTCCTTTCACTGACCGTACACGTGCTTACGAACTCACGTGCCGTTGCGAGCCACGTGCGTCTGTTTGTGCCTTTCATACGTACATGATACATATATTGCGTGTCGTTGGGCTATGCTAAAACGTTGGCAGTTGGCATATATACCTTATTTTAGCGACAATTCGATTAACTTGCACCTGTACAGATTCCTTGGCAAGGAATTTGAAGAAAATACTATAAGAAGAAATAAGCAGGATATTAATATTGCAAAATTAACCTGCAGATCGAGGTACAATTTCTTTTTCACAGAGTTATTCAATATCGAAGTGAATAACACCTTTTTTTCTTTGATCGCACACAGAAGACGAATAAATAGGTACAAGATATTTGTTAAAAAGATTTAACAAATTTAAAAAAGGATAAAAAGATAATATAAAATAACATAAAAGCTAATTTAAAAAAAAAAATATTTCAACTCCTAAACCTACTTATGAATATTTGTGAAAAATTTGTTTTGTACTAATTTAAGTTATGTTTAAGATTCATTAAAAAATGAGATAGATTAAAAGATATTGTTTATATAAATTTGATCACATCTGGAAAATCTACTTTTTGAAAAGAATATTACATTTGGTTATTGCGCTTTTTTTATAGGAGCCAATAGTTTCACGATTTTCGTCTGTTGGAAATGTGATTCACTAGACGCTTCAAACAGTTTGAAACGCTTAAATAAAAACCATGATTGGTCTGTACGGCGTTTCAATGCATTTGTAGCGTGTAGTGGATCCTAGAAACTCATCGAGAAAGTGACGCGTTGAATCACGGTGTATATACGTGTATCTAGATAAGATACCCATAACTTGAAAACGCCTTGATGAGAAATCGGAATCTCTCAACGACGCCTGCGACAAAGTCGTTGCACGGTAACCGTAACCTGAAATTACAATTTTTCGATTTGGTTGTGTATCCGCGCTGTCGCGCAGCAGATTGTTAAGGTATGGCTGATATGGGCCTAAGTTTAGATGACATAATTAAAAAGTCGAAACCACCTGGAATGCGAGGCAGAGGAGGGTAAGACAAGTTCAACTAAACGCCTGACTGAGCTCGCGTTAGAGATTTATAACCCTCACAGTCGCATTTTCCACGACAGAAGGGAAGACACTTGCTCATTGTACGTTAAAATCATTCCCTACAAAATTTTTGGTATAGCCTAACTTGGTCGATAGTCTTGTCGCGAGATCGCCAAAAATTAGTCACACGACAATATTGCAGTCACAGATAACACGTGCACCTGTCCTCGCCCTTTGAATTTCGTGATTTTAATGATTGCACAATATTATAAATTGTTCGACAAAATCAGTTGCAAAACAAAGATTTGCAAAATGTGAAAATATGATCGTTGACTAATCTATAGTATTCTATTGCTGAGTACTGGGTAGGAAATAGCTTGAGAGAATGTCAAATTCTACTTATTAACTTTTATGTAATTCCACATTGGATTCAGGATACGTAGGGGTGTCAGTAGAGGCGCACGGGCGAATGGTTTTATAAGAGGACGTGGACCGCATGTGGTTACGGATGCAAGATTTAAGATAATACAGAAGAACCGTGAGAAGTTGACCGATGCCAGGGACAAGCTTGCTGAAATAGCAAAGCAAAGTGATGCCAGGCTCAAGTTGGACAAGATTCGTGCATCTCAGTATAAGAAGATAGATGCACAGCTTCCAGGAATATCACGCAAAACTGGTAGAAATGGAAGGCTATCACTATCAACCAATAAAGCACCACCTATGATGTCACATGTATTGCCACCGAATGTACCGAACAATTATATACCACAGGTAGTGGTGGGCTACAGGCCACCTCCCATGCCTGATACCCCTTATTTGGGAGACATGAATATGGATTATAATAATGGTATGTGAACTTACAAAGAGAGAAAGATCAAACTAAAGATTTGTTTGCACACATGTCCTTCGTTGTCTTGGGAGTGCTTGGACGTAAATGTTTAATGTTGGTGCAAAAGTTTGTTATTTTTGTCAAACAAAATAGAAGATTTAAGTGTTAAATTTCAATGAATTATCATCATTTTCATGAATAAAATTAGTAATATTGACTTGATATTTTTTCAAACATTCAATGAGAATTTTTTACAATTTAATAAAAAAATGACAAGTCTCTTGTACCAATTTGATACTTTAGTAACATTAGTTGCTTACGTCAGTTTATGTTTTCAGATTATCTAATGGATTCCTCATTGAGGAGAACTGTGAGTAACGAGTACGCGCCGACTCCGCCGCCTCCACCTCCTGTGTTCAATATTATCAAGCCGAGTTCTCCTTATATCTGGGTGAAGCCCACGAGCAGTAACGTCACTAGAATTGCGCCTCGGAAATCTGACATAGAACGAGAGCGAGAACGACAAAGGGATTACAAAATGATGACTTCTATGGTTGGTAATTTTGTATTTAGAAAAGTAACAAATTATTAGAGGTTTGATATGCCATACTTATGGTTCTTGATCAATCTATTTATTTCTTCATGTTAGAGAAAAACTGCTTCTCCACCATACAAGGAAGATTGGAGTTTTGGTACAAAAACGAGGTAATGACGAAGTAAAATGTATTACCGAGTAAAGAACTTGCCGGTCGAATGACACATCTTGTGGTTTTGTTTGCAGAACAATTTTAGCTGAAGAAACAACGGATTCCAAGTATTATGATTCTAGAAGTCTTCGAGATGTAGGGATTAAATCGCGTTTGGACTCATCCCCTAATAAATCGAGAACTATGGGAGTCATGTCTCGGCCAAAAGCGAGCTCTAGTTCGTCGACGCAATCAACGGGCTATCGAATCGTAGTATCCAACTTGCAAGCGAACGTTACGCAAGAAGATATCAAGGTAAAGCACAATAAAGAAAGTTCCACGCGTTCATGTTTGCTTGAAAATACCGCAATAATAAGAGGTTATTCTTGCGCTTTGCAGGAATTATTCGAAGATGTCGGAGAACTGCTCGTGTCGAGATTAGTACGTCCAGGTACGGCAGAAGTGATCTATAAAACTCTGAAGGATGCGACCAAGGCAGTTGAGACTTATCACAATCGACAATTGGACGGTCACCCAATGAAATGCCTTCTCGTTAATCCTCGGCCGAAAAATAATCCGACCGGGCCAGCCGTTCGTCCTCTCACGGAGTAAGTAGCAAGATCTTCCTTTATACAGTGAAAACAAAGAGTTCGTGATCACACATTCATTATATATTGTACATATATTTTCATGTTTATACATTTTCTCGAGGAACTAAGTATTCTGCATTTTGTAGAATGTTGAATTGTGTAGCGTATGAAATCCAAATATCGTTTATAAGCATAGTTATATTTTGCCATATGAAATCACACACGTAATCCTTCTGACTTGATATAACCGCGAGAATAAGTCGGTGAAACATACAAATCTAAAGGTTTACATTAATCATTTAGAAAGAAGTAGCCTTATGCTCCTTCTCCTCACGTCATAATATCTTCTCTACAGATCAAGGCGCAGTGTCAGTTCGAGTTATGTACAACCGAGTTTAGGAGCAGTGCATCGCGCGTTATTCGACGACTCTTAATCGAGCGCACCTTCTCGAATATAAATCATTGAGAAATAAAAATGTCATGTATATGTAATGGACATCTTACACACAGGATAAATTCAAGAAAGTTCGAAAAACTGAGAGAATAGAGACGAAACGAGATGATGAAGAAAGGACGGCAGCTGGCGTCATGTGCGCTCACGCGTCCTCGAATTCGAGTCGCAATGTTATATATCAATAAACTTGTATCATTTATTATATTTCACTCTACGATGCAGAGCCAGTACGGTTTATACTGTTCACTAACACTGGAACGCTCCCGTATTAAATTCTGATCTTTTTCTTGGAGTTGCTCCTTTACACTCTATGTATTATTCAATTGCTGCTTCGTTATCTCAGGTGTATGATGTAATGTTTACTTTCTTAAGTATAATAAATTGTATACATTTATTCGGCTGTATGCATTCACTCGACCGTCTTTCGGTACTGAAGGCGATAGGAAAAGTCGCGGCGCGTTCTAGTGTTGAAAAATATAGGAAAAATATAGGAAGTGATAGGACTAGCAAAGTGGTCGAAATTGTATGAGCGTCAAGTGCAAGTTGTTTCTTGTACATTTAATATATCGGAATAAAACGATATTCACTCAGCGACTTCCGTCGATGTCTCTTCCAAGCGTACGGTCGATTCCCACATGGACATGTATCGTTCATTCAGGATACAATTGGCTCGGCGTATGCGAGTGGCTTTTGTATAGTTTCAAATTTTGGGAGAAGAAAACAGAACTTGAGTGCGATCAGGTTCTGTTTTTGAAAAAAGTTTTTTCACAAAACTTTGAAAGAACTTTCCAAAAAAAAACAAGACTTGATCGCCCTGCGAAGTTCTGCTTTTGGAGAAAATTTTCAAAACTTCTTGGAAAAAAAAGAAATAGGTCTCAATCGCACGTTATGTTTCTTCGTGCTTTCGTGACAGATCTACACGGAAGCAAGCATAAGAAAATACGTATCCGTCTCATAGTTCCGATATATCTGGATGAGCGCAGAGCGAGAGGAAATCAGCGATTTGAGAGAAAGAGAAAGAGAGATACGATAAAGAATTTATTTATTTATACATAAAACATGATCACAATATTCATACCTACAAAATACAAAAGCTAACACACCACGCATGCTGTTGCCGACATGCACTACGAGTCTTACACCCCTGCGGGTAGTAGGCATATGTTATCGTGAAGTAGTACGAGTTTCGGAGATGGAAGTTCGTATTTTGACACGGAGAATAAATGGCACATAAATAAGTTTTCCTCTTCTCCGTAACGAGACTACGAGACGGCACCATTATGCAGCGGCATGACTCCGACCGCTGATCAGCGCGCCGCGTTAGCTGCCAAGTCCGAGCGATGAGCGCGTGAGGATGAGAGAAGGAAAGGGGGCAGAGAGGACAGAGGGGAAAGGGTTACGAGTGACGTACAAAACGCCCGAACTGAAAGCTAAGACCTCGATCGCACCTATTAGTGCCCGCGTCATGCCGCTGCACGTCGTCCATTATTTACAACAAGTACGAAACAATACTGAATTTCACTGCTTTATTTATTCGTCGTATGTGTATATGTGTGTGTGTATGTATGTATGTGTGTGCGTGTGTGTGTAACGCCAGTTGAGCGACTTTATTCGTGTCCGGAGGATGCGAAGCAACACGTGCGCTCTACTAATCGAAGATTACAATTCGAGAGGAAATTCGAGAGTACAAAAGTCCAGCGCGAGTCGCTGCTTCTCCAGCTCGCTTCGTGGCTGCGATTTAGCTCCTACGGTGATGATTATGATGATTGTTGGCTTTGGGCTTGTTCGGCGTGCGTAGCACCTCCGCGTAAGACATTTCCAGCCGCTTCAATCGAGCCACTTCCTCCGACGCGGTGCTGGGCTTGTACTCGCTGTACTCGCTGTAGTTGTTGCGCTGTTGTTGCTGCTCGTTCGGGCTTCGCGCATAGCCGTGTTGCCTCCTATCTCTCGCGCGGTTCGAGTAGTTGGCGTTGTGCTGGCCGTTCCACATCCCGTTGCCGTCCTGATCGACGGTGTTGAACGGCTTGTACTTTCTGCGGCCGCCGCCGTTGGCTTTGGGCGGCACGAATTTCGGATTCGTCGTGGGGATGACGTCTGGCGTCGTCGGCCGGTCGTTGTAGTGCGCCTTCTTCGCCAAGTTCTTCTTCGCGGACTTCTTGCGGACGTGCACGTTGATGGACAGGTAGTCCAGTCTGGTAGCGTGATGGGGCTGCGGTTGGCTGACGGTTTTAGGCTTGTTGTCGGTCTTGGGTGGGCTGGCGGGTTGTACCCTGAACACCGGCTCCGAGACAACGGACGACACGATAGAGGACATGACGCTCTGGTTGTCGTCAGTCGCTTCGCTGTGCAGATCCTCCTGAATCGGCGCCTCGGGCGTTAACTGTGATGTGCTGGAGTCGTCCAACAGGGGCAGCTTCTCGCCCTCGTCCTTCGCCTCAGCCGCCCGCTTCAACACGCTGAAGATCTCACTGAAGAGCTGTCGATATTCCGGCGTCTTGCGGAACCTGCTCTCGAACGGACTATTGTCGTCGTAGATGCTGAACTTGCAGTCCTCACCGTCGGCGATCGAGCACAAGAAGGAACCTGGCCTGCCATCCGTCTGCGTCGCCTTGTTGCTCGTCTCATCTGAGAAGCCCGAGGACGACGTCTCGGCCTCGGAGAAGTCCGTCGGGGTGGCCGAGAAGGCTTTCTTACCGGGGACGTCGGCTTTGGTTCGCGGCGCGTTCTTGGCCGATTCCGGAGCGACCTCGGCTTCCGCAACGGCGGGATTGAAGTTGTTGAACTCCCCGGACATCTCGAGCTCCTCCTGCAACGACATGCACGCCGCCGGGATGGCGTCCTTGCGACGGGGCTGACAATGTCTCTGCACCTCCAGCAAGGCCTGATACTTCTCCACCAGTACTCGATAGGGATTGGCGCTGTCCAGCTCGTCGGTGCCTTCGTTCTTGCTGCCTGCGGTGTCCTGTGTGCAGGCAATTAACGTGTGTGCAATTGGAACTAGGCAATGCGTGCGACGGATTCAGAGCGTTACTGCGACTCTAAACGAAACCCGTGTCAGTGTTTTCTCTTTCTCTTTTCTTTTTATTTTCATTTTCGTTACGTGTGCGCTGAATTCGATCGGGGAAATTCATTTGTACGAGGAAAGCGATCGGGACACTTGAATTTTCCCAACTAGAGTCCCTCGCACGAGTTTCATCGGCGACTTTTTTTTACCTGAGCTCTCCGTATATTTGCGTTATATTAACGAATCGTTAGAAATCGTGTGTTAGTATGTAACTAGTATACACGAGACGTTGCGCAGAAATGGTACACAGCTGGAAGCAGAAGGGCGAAGGACCTGCCAGATTTATAGGATATCAAGAACAGAGCACAACAGAGTTCCGTGAGAAAATGCGTTTTATTTAGGATCTTATAAATCTGGCACTTACATTATACAAAGTAATCGGATAGAGTAATTCGACTAGACACAGAGTAATTCCAATCACAAAGGCTCAGCTACGCTCAAACGTAATTCGAACAACGGCGTCAAGTATATAAGCACAAGTATTTACATCTACATACATCAGACTCATAACATTGGCGGAGCGTATTGTAAACGAAACACAGTCTCCGTAATCTTTGGAAATTCATTCGATCAATTTGCCACGACAATGTGCCATTGAGATGCGTGAAACCATGAGATTAATCCAAAAACTGATTAATCCAACACCAGTAACTCATCTAATCCATACCCGCGATATGTACAATCATCATTCAAACTCGCGTAAATAAAGAGCTGATTGACCAATTAGGCAAAAAACACAATTAAAAAGTAATGTGCAAATAAAACAGATATAACTACCTGTATTAATTAAATATTAAAATATGTAAAAAAAGAAAAATACCAAAAAATAAAATAAAAGTTATAAACCCAACCCATAATTTTCGTTATCCCCCATCTGAGATGCGGCTCTCCCGTGAGAGCCGCGCATTAACCCTGGTTAATAAAACTGATGTGTCTTGCGCGTCAGCATGCTGAATTAAAGCGGAGACCGAGGACCGCGCGATTCGACGCCGGTCACGTGTGCGCGCATGCGCGCGCGCGCGGGCATGCAGTTTTTAAAGCATCTTTAGCTTCTGACGTAGTATAGGCAGCAAAACTTTCCAGAAGTTGAGCAACGGTATTTGGAAGGGTGCGAGCACTATCGGGACGGCGCAGCGGTCTCTAATTTTCTGGACGAGCACGCCGAGAAAATAAAACGACAACAACAACGGCACTTTCCACATACAAGTGAATATCCTCCACAACAGCGAACTACACCGTTTATGTTCTGTCTTTGGCTTGGATTTTGCAAACTTTGTCGTTTCCTAAAGCAGATAAAAGAGTAATTACTGCGTGCGAGCCTACTGTCGCTCGTCGGGCTCGCGGCGATTTTTGTTCGCTTCCGCGCGATCGATCCCGAGTGAAGCGACACGGTGAAAGCAACAGAAGCTCGAACGGAACAGCAAGAGCTTCAATTCGTGCAAACATCGATACACTTGACTATGACACGACTAACTTGACTAACGACTAGCGGCTTGCAAGAGTGCGGTTCGAGTATAAACGCGCTACTACCAGAGAGAAGAGAGTATACCTGCACTATCGGCTCCAAGTCCCGCTGATTCTCGCTGATCAGCGACTCGGCCATGCTGATGTCGTCGTACTCTTCTTGGTCCAACATGATCGAGAGTTCGTCGTGTGTCCTCGTGTCCATGCCGCGCAAGCAACGTCCGCACAACTGACCTCGTCTGCAAAGAGATTTCATCTTCATGGGAGAGCCATTAGCGCGACTTGCGAGGATATTCCCGACGATTATATGGGATTTTGTGTTTATAAATCGCAACATCAACGAAACGCTTCGCTTTGACGTCTATCTTAGGACGAATTCGTGTCAAATACCCTGCTTTGAAGATTGAGTGGAATTAAATAAGCAAAATATATACAGCTGAATCGTGTTTCTGATAAAAAATAATAAAATTACATAGAAAGGATATTCAAATAAATACTTAATCGTTGGTATACAATTGAATCGTTGAAAGTTTCGATACAAAACGGAAGAAATTTGTTAACAGAAAACAACTTTGTTACCAGAAAGCTGAAATATGAGAAATTGAAATTTTCAATAGAAACTATAAGTTCAGATAAAGTCATTCAAGTAGACCATTTCAGTGAGACCTATACATATTTCTATCGTTCCTTATCGGACTTTTTAAGCAGGGTGAGAAGTCCTTGAACGCGTGCGACGCGTCGTTCTTTTTCTTGATTAACTGCACAGGAAATGAGCAATCTACATCCAAAGAGAGAAGAAACACACCCAAAGTAAATCGAATCCTCACCTGACTTCCTCTAAAGTACTAATTTCGTCTTGCAGATTCTTCACATCCTGCGCTTTGTTACGCCACACCGTTAACTGCTCCTCCAACGCGCTGTTTTCCTGTAGCAGAGTCGTCAACTGCTGACTGAGCTCGGACACCTTCATCTGCTCCCTGACCCTCTGACTGCGAGCGTCCTGTAGTTGCCTCAGCAGCTCGTTCATCTCCTCGTCACTCGCCGCAGCTGTCGTCGTTTGTCGGATGTTTGCGTCGGTTGTCGTTTCCTGGAAAGACTTCGGCGAACCTGGGGCAGCTCTCTGGTGACAAAAGTATCGCATGTTAATCCTTTCGTTCGCCCGAAAACACTCTGCGATTGCACACTGAGGAAAAGAGTGTTTAAGCAGAGTCTTGCGACTACAATCGCATAATGAACGAAGTGTAATACTCTAGAATATTAAAAGAACCATATTTGCAGTGAATATATATGTAATAATAACACATACATGCATATCGCTATACACTAAGAGAAAAATATCTAAAAAATAATAGATATTTATTCGCTACGAAATAAATATTTTTTTTATTTTCCACATAGTTCCTCTCCCAGTAGACTACTACTACTCCTATGATTAGAACAATTAGAAGATATAGTTGACATCGAAAATGATTATAATTTTAGCGAAACTAAACGTTTCTGCGACAAGTGTCACAGTGATATTAGTAGTAACTTTTTGCACACATGGATACTGTTACTTTTAGTTGAAATTGTTAGTTGAAACAACAAGGATTTGTAATTGTCGCAAGATTGATCATCTGTTTCTCTCAGTGCAGCTTGAGAGGGCGCGACATATCGACTGTTACCCGCGTGGAATTAACATGTGGAAAGGATCAGTGCGCATATCACATTATGATAAAAGTATCTGCTGTACATTCACCTGCTGTACGCTGCCACCTTGCGTAACCGAAGTTTTCCAACTGCTGTCCTGCTGTTGCGCATTGTTCCGGGACGGGCTTGCAGCTTGCTGTTGCCGCAGGAGAGCCTCGCGTTGCCCAGTCAAGTCGTCGATCTTCTTCTGCAGTTCCTCGCACTTCACTTCCAAACTTTCGATGGTCATGCATTGGCTGCGGTACGGGGGAGGGTGCGCAAAGATCGTAGCGGGATTATTAGCGGCAATTATTGCGAAACACATCGCGGCATCGCGATCAAGCCCGACCATCGACGCATACGGTTAATAACGAGAGCCTTATTATCGGGAGAAGCAGATCACATCGGGAGATTAAAATAGAGTTACACAGGGGGAATAATACTGAATAGCTTTCCATGAACTCTAATTGTATCGGGCGGTAATGAATTATGAATTTTAGAAAGGTGAGCTCTCAGAACGCGAACGGTTCACACGGCCGATACGAGTGCGAAGCTAATGAAATGCAATAACTGAACTCTCGTTAGGCTAACGTTCTTCAAATGGTGCCGTTCTGCAAATATCCGCCGAAATATTTGATGCCGCGCGGAGGAGAAAAATTGGTTAAGATAAAAGTCTGAGGAGGGAGGGGGTAGTTAAATGTGACAATGACTAAATGTGTTTTGCTTGAAGGAAACAGAATTTCTCTCTCTGACTCCTGATATATTGTTACTGAAGCATCAACGAACGCCTATTATTTTTCATACGGCTACTTTTTATATTAGTCACATTCATCATCGTTGGCTGATCATTTTCAGCACTGACCGATTTCAGCTCCTCTTGGCCGCTCTTTCTCTAAACCTTAAACATTTTTTCCAAAACGCGGAACAATTCACGGATTAATCAACAATGTTCTCGTAACAAAACACGATTTTTCATATTTTTTTTTTCTTGTCAACGATGTGTTTGTTGATAAACAAATGAATTTGTTTTATAACGATGTTGAGCATTGATCAATCAGTTAGTTGACTAAAATAGTGGACAAATCAATAATCAAAATTAATCAATCGTGTATGAAATCACGAATAACTTAGTCGATTGATTATAGATTGATTAAAACTTAATTTCATCGATCAATCAAATTATTCGTACGTATGTAACGATTAATTGACTTATTCTGATTTTGAATTCGCCAATTATTTTAGTCAAGCAATGTTTTAATCGATCAATGCACAAACACTGAACACTGAGTTTACAAGAACCAGCAATTCTGTTTTCGTCAACCAAAGCTTAGCGCTTCGTTGTGTCATTGTTACGTTAATTCAACCAATTTTTCTCCTCCGTGCGTAATCTCGTATAAGGCGATACTTCTCTCCCCAAAATGAACGAATGAACGAAGAGCAAAGTCGGAAGAGCAAAGTTCCTCGATGCGGAACAATCGCGAGAGACGAGGAGGGACATCGCGTTTACCTCTTGATCAGCTTCTTGTCGCTCGTGTTCTCGATCACCAGACGATGATTCGCGCGTTCCAGATCTTGCACACTGACCTCCAGCTGCTCGTAGATTTTCAGCCGTGAATTATTCACCTCCCTCAACGCGGCGGTCTGCTTTTTCATGTACTGCGGAACGAACGAACAACACGCACATTTACTCATCAGGCTACGCGACTGCGAACACGTCGAGCGACTCCATCGATCATAGCCATCCACATTTTTTGATCGACGCATCGGTCGTCGTGATTTTGTGTCGTATGTGTGTTACGTAAAGGTACTGCGCAGAAATCAATGATAGTAAAATCATCGGAGAATGTTAATCAAACTGTTTGTACGCGGAGAAGATATAGCTTTTCAATCATATAAGATTTCAATGTAATTGCGTTTCTAAAGTCGCGGGAATCGACTGTCATCCATGTCATGTAAGGACTATCCATCTAAAGAACGTAGTAGATTTCGCTAAGAACAATAGCAAAAACTAGTAGCAAAAGTTTTTTAATAACACACTTCATAGTTCCCGAAATATAAGTAATATATATATATATATATATATATATATATATATATATATA